CTTGATACTTTTGTTTTCCTCCCAAAGGTATGTAGCCTGAGACTCTTGTTTTCTCGAAAACACACGGAAGATGTGCTTGTAATCTTTTCACAGCAGGAGATAGATGGAAGAAAGTTCAATGTTGAAAGAAGAAATGGAAGAGGAATGATTTGCTTTATTTAACACGCAAATTTTCGTTTGACCGATAAAGAAGAACTAATCTAATTATCAAATTGTCACTGAACAGCAGATTCTGCTGCCACCTTTGGCGTTAACAATAAAACCACTTAAATTTAATTAAAATACACACTGATATCGATTAATACAACTGAGAAGCGTTTCAACGAGAGATATTGAAAGTAAACAGCGCCACTTGACCGAGATTATATCCTTCATCGGTGAACGAGTCCCGTTAGAGATTGATAAAAATTTATGCTTTCAGTAGATACCACGGAGTCTGCAGCAAAATTTGAGCAGTTTCCTGCYTTTTTGGACAATTTGACAAGTTTTAATGCCACTTGCTCGGGAGAGTTTCGGCTGCGGGTATGAACATTTTGCTCTCTTTGATAGAGACAATTAAAGAATGAAATAAACGCTCTAGTGTAGTTTGGAAACAGCAGATGATATTTCTTGAACCAAGTTAGGTGTAATCCCAAAAGACACGCAGTCACAGTAGCATTCTTGTATCGCGCTAACGATGCTAGAACGCATGTGCATGACTTATTAGGGTTCTACCAAACGGAAAAGGGCTCAGCGTTAGTGTGTGATCTTGTATGAAATATATTTTCCATCTGATATGTAGTTGACACTAACGCTTATTTATCTGCACATGCCTTTAGAGCAAATACTGGTGTTGTTCTAAAGAGAAAAGTACCACAAGGAGAGCAAGGGTCTTTCTGAAACAGATAAATACCTCCTTGAAAACCTCAAGAAAGTAACGTACGTACAAACAGAATTCATTTTATGTAGTGCTCACAAGTACCTACCCCATCCTACCCCCTTGCTGCAAGCCTAATTAATAAATTGAAATTAAGGATAGTGCTTACTTTTGTTAGTGCGCACACGTTCTACGCATCACGCAAGCCATGGTTTAGCTCCACGCTCGCGCTGGGGCTGACCTTTGACGCAATCAACTACGCTATCACGTACACGACTAAAATGAACGCAAAATTTTCCTACTGTGACCAAACCAGGTTTAATGAACCTGTGCTTAAACCAGGAACACCAGAATAGCAGCATATCGCTAACCACTAACTGTTTACGTCTTCCAGCTGAAAACCTAGCTGTTATCTGTCGAAAATTTTCTGAAATCCAACTGTAACCATGTACCTGCAGATGGCGTAGTGCGCGTGCAAAACAAGTGCGAGATACGCAAATGTCTTACTTACTGGG